TAAAAGTATTACAGATGTTCTCTTTTTTCCCCATTGAGTCCTTCTAGCCTGTACTGGCTCCTACCTACTCCCCAGGCCTTCACCACCCTATTGTTTGTGTCCATGGGTTAAGCATATATGCATACAAATTCTTTGGTTAATCTCTTCCCACCACCCACCCCCACCTTCCCTCTGAGACTTGACCATCTGTTACCTGCTTCTATGTCTCTCAATTTATTTTGTCCATCAGTTTATTTTGATCTTTAGATTCCACATATGAGTGCGATCATGTGATATGTTCTTGCCACCTGTGCTTCTGTGCTTCCCCATCCTCCTTTGGCCCCTTCTAGTTGAACCTGTGACTCAGTTTCCAATATAGTTTTCAAGTTTGCCAAAGAAGTCTTGCTGCTCTACTTATTTGATTCCTTAATTGACTAGAATTTGAAGGAGAAAAAAAAAATGAAACTCAGGCCACTTATTCCACCGAGCCGATCTTATTCCACCAGAGAAGTTTCCGTTCAATGTTTGCCCACAGTCTGCTGGGTCTCAGGTGACCAGTGCTGCTGCCCAGCCAGGCAGAGCCATCCATCTGGTTTTTGGAAGGACTGTCAGGTTTTGGACAGGTGCTGTTCTTCATCAGCACAATCTCCTGTGATCCTTCTTATCAAGCACTAAGAGGTTTCCTTGGCTCATAGCCATCATTACCTTGGATATTTAGAGTGCTTTTTTAAAAAGCAACTTTTACTTCTTTTTCTTTATTTCTTTCTTACTTTTTTTTTTTTTTTTTTTTTTTTTTGGTGGGGGTGGTGAGTAACTTGAATCTATAAAGCTAGTCTCTAGTTTATATATGTTAGTTATTTGGCCCACATTTATTAATACTGGGTATCCTATATAATAAAAAAGTAATATGCAAATTGATATCATTCCAAGACACAAGATGGCTGCCCCCATGTGAACATAAGATGGCCACCATAAGATAATCAGCAAGGAGGACCAGATTGGGGAGGGGGGGGCAGGCCTGCAGGGGAAGGCAGTTGTGTGTAGGGGGGAGAATCAGGCCTGCAGTGGAGAACAGTTGTTGGGGACCCAGGCCTGCAGGGGAGGAAAGTTTAGGGGGACCAGGCCTGCAGTGGAGGACAATTAGGGGCAACCAGACTGGCAGGGGAGGGCAGTTAGGGGCAATCGGGCTGGTTGGGGAGCAGTTAGGCATAGATCAGGCTGGCAGGGGAGTGGTTAGGGATGATCAGGCAGGCAGGCAGAAGCGGTTATTGGCAATCAGGCAGAGGCAGGCAAAGTAGTTGGGAACCAGCAGTCCTGGCTTATGAGAGGGATGTCCAAATGCCCATATAGGTCTGATCCCAGGCAGTCAGACATCACTCAAGGGGTCCCAGATTGGAGAGGATGCAGGCTGGGCTGAGGGGCAACCTCCCCCCCATTCCTGCCCATGTACGAATTTGTGCACCGGGCCTCTAGTGTATTTATAAAAGCAACTTTTCTTGAAGCTGTGACACTAGGTTCTTTTAAAAATTGAATCAGTACATTTTTGATAGATGTTAGTAAGCAATTATGTTGGTGCTTAAATAGTAGTAAGAAAAGGCAACATAAATCATTGCAGCTCATTTTGCAATAGAAAAATCAATGACAGAGGCCACATTTTTCTTTCTTTCTTTCTTTCTTTCTTTCTTTCTTTCTTTCTTTCTTTCTTTCTTTCCTTCCTTCCTTCCTTCCTTCCTTCCTTCCTTCCTTCCTTCCTTCCTTCCTTTCCTTCCTTCCTTCCTTCCTTCAACATGTATGTATATGTGAGTTTATTTGAGAGAGAGGAAGAAAGAGGGAGAGAGAGGAACATCAATTGGTTGCCTCCCATATACACCCTGACTGGGGGGTCGAACTCACCAGCCAGGACTGCCAGAGGCCATATTTTAACAATCGTGTTTGTGCAATGAATGGATTAGCTAGGATAATTACTATTAAATATTAAAAACTATAAAATATTGTATTTAATTAAAATATACAGATTTTTTGTTACTATTTAATTTCCACACTGGTCATCTTGCCTTTTATATTTAAATTCTATTTCATCATATGGTTCTTTCAGCAAGATCACATTCAGTAAGATCAGAAGAGAGGGATAGGAGGAAAAGGTGAATGCATTACTTGGGGAAAATGAGCATGTGTTAAGAAAGGCAATGTTATTGAAAATTATACCTCCCTCACTCACCACCTGCTGTGTCCCATTCCCAGATCACCTCACTCTCCCTGGCCTTTCTTTGGCCTCTGATGAGCTTACTCACCACCACCTACCCTGGTCCTCTCCTGTCTTGACACTGTACTTTCCTAGTTCTTCTTTTGAGCCCCTAACTGTTCATTTTCTGATTCCTTAGAAAGGATAAATAAATCTTCATGTTACTATTGAATTCTGTTATAGTGTTGGTGAATTCTATGAATAGGTTTACTGAGCCATCCTTGTTTTCCTAAATTAAACCTATCCCACATGAAAGTGTGTGTGTGTAATTATGATGTGCTAATATTTAAGAATGAGATGGCCCATAATTTTTCTTCCTCATAATGCCCTTGTCTAGCCTTAGTATCAAGATTATCAAGACCGTAATAGCCTCAAAACTACAGAAATGAGAGCTTTGAATAATCTCTGAAATAATTTATATAAAATATGTTTCTTCATATTTATATAAAATATGAAATGAACCTATAGCTCTTTTTGACATAATTGTGCTTGGAAGTTTATTATGTATTTTGTTTGGGTGTTTGAAACTCTAATAACAAAAGAATGTGATGAAAAGTATTTTACATGTATTTTAATGAGTGGACAGGCTGAGTGAGAGGGGCATTATAACAGTGGAGGCTAATCAGAGGATACAAGATATAATTTAGGGTTGGGGTCAAAGACCAGGGAAGAGAATGGATTGAAACTAAGTTGTAGGGACTGATCATCCAAAAGAAGACAGAGCATAATGATTCTGATCGTACAGGAGAAGTTGAGACCATAGGTATTGATACAGCTGTATTTTCAGTTACACAGATGAGTGGATGGGAACTTTGTCTGTAGGTGCTCCTGGGATCCAGTGAGATAGAAGGCCCTGTGATGCGCAAAGTTGGGCTAGACAGACCTTGTGGAGGAATGCACATGAAAATTAAAAAAGGACCAAATATGCAGATTGCCCAACTTGGATATAGTGTTAACCATAAAAATATACAGTTTTAATGGGGAAGCTAGTTAGCAATTTAAATAAAGAAAATTGAGAAATATTGACAGAACTATATGCTGGTAACTCATTTCCCCCTCTTTACATGACTTCTTTTTTATTTTAATATTCCAGGAAGTAGTATAACCATTGGTCATTCTAGGATTTAAAACCTGAAATATGTGTCTCTATCTTTTCTTTTCTTTTCTTTTCTTTTCTTTTCTTTTCTTTTCTTTTCTTTTCTTTTCTTTTCTTTTTCCTTTTCTTTTTTTTTTTTTTTCACTTTCTTTTAATTCTTTTAAATGAAAATAAAGATTACTGCATGGGAAAGGAGTTAACTCAAATCTTTCCTTTCCTTTTACCTAAGCCCCAAATAATCTCTCCTTTCTATTGTATGTATAAATACTTCCTGTAACGTTATAACCACCTGCATGTATAGATACTGTGTTTAAGGGACATTTTAGCGCTAGTTCCCTAACTGAATTAATAAACTTCTAGAAGGACTGTTTATTAATAACTTTTGATAGTTCCAGTGTCTTTTTCATACTTTGCTATAAATAAGTACTTTGTTTCAATTGACTTACTTATAATATGAGAAATTTATATAAAGTACTAAAAACAGTCACCATATATATAAAATTTTCAAAAACCACATACCAGTCTCTATTTAAACTCAACCTTGGTTTCCTTTAACGGAATAGAACTTCCAGTTGGTCACTTTCCCCCTTAATAACTGATACCAGAGAAATACTATATTTGTTACACAAAGCTATTACTTGGAAATAATCCATCTCATTTGCATCAACAAAGGCATTTTTACAGGACATGTAATAGGACAGGCATATATTCCTATATTAGATCTGTTTTTAGCATCTGCTTTTGCTGAAAGGGATTTTTCCTGTGCTGCACATTTTTTCCTTGAACCAGTAATTTTGTTGATTTGACAGGTACTATGTGCCTATTTAGTCAGTGTGATACCACTCAAAATGTTTCATCCGAGAAAAAAAGACAATCAAATGACATGGCTAATTGTCAGGGATGATGGTGAGGTATGGCATAAATGGCAGGTGAATCAATGCATATTTTTTCAGTGCCAGAAATGAGCTAATGAAATTTACTCAAATGGCTCATGAAACACCAGTGTAGCCCATTTCAAACACTGTCATTTTATAAGAATGGAACTCTGGGCTGGAGGCCATTTAATAGGATTTAACAGTGCTCATAAAGCACACATACACACACAACAAAACAAACACTGTCTCCAGAGAGAAGCTGCTTCCTAATTTACCTTAGAAAAAAGAGGCAGATGAGGCTGGAAGTGACTGGGGACCTCTCATGTTGGAAGGACAAGTCTAACCATGGGGCCAAAGTAGGAACCCAAGGGAAGGGATCTGGAACGTCTAGTACTTTGAAACAAGACAAATGGTGTTCCAAATGGTGTTTGTCCTTGTCCCTGTGCAGGCTTTGGTGATTTTTCCAAGTCTTCCACTCTTTCATGTCAAGTTGCAGAGGAAATGCTGTGTTATTTTCTGCCCAGCCCAGAGCCAGTGGGAAAATGCACATCTGGCTTGTAAATCACAGCCATGCACTGATGCCTCGCTCACTCTTTATAGGGTGGCTGTCCTTTGCGCTTTACACGCTCTCAGTGTGGATAGTGTGACCTCCTGATGGAAACCTCCAGTGGCCCCTCCAGGGTCATGTTGGGGGACCTTCACATCCTCTCTGAAATGTAATGTTTGCTACCTGAAGTGCACTCTCTGTGGTCCCCAAAAGAAAAGTCATTCATTTTTACCTTTTCGTTTATTTATTTTTCCTGTTTAGAAATTGGCCCCTGGTTACGGGAGTTCAGAGCGAAGAATGCTGTGGATTTCTCGCAGTTAACATTTGACCCAGGACAGAAAGAACTTGTTGTAGGAGCAAGGTGAGAGATCTAACCTTTTGCCACCACACATATTTCCGGCCTTCGTGTTACATCTGTGCTAGTTACACGTGAACTGCTCTGCCAGAGGTGATGAGTGCTAAGTAATAATTCTGCTACGGATGAAATACAGTGTGAGTGTCATAAAGCAGTCTGCTAAGAGTAGGATCACGCCTGCTTTTTACAGCAAGTGTCCATTGGGCTCTCCCCATGTTCCAGAAACTGTTCTAAGATGAATTCATTCATTTTTTTCCTCCCATGAATCCTGAGAGGTAGGTATTATAAGTATGATCAACATCATATTTTAGAAATGAGGAAATTGAGGTAGGAAGTGGATAAATTCATTGCCTGGGGCATGTTTGTTGTGTCTAATAATAGATGGACCAGGTTTTAGACCCAAGCAGTTAGGTTCCAGAAACTATATTCTCAACTTCTCACTAGATTCCTCAGTAAAACTGTAGAGATCAAGAGACCATAATGTCCATTTTTCCCCATGTTACTTTTTTGTGTGACCATGATGAGGCCATTTACCCAGCCAACTGGGAATCCAAGGAAGTTGTTACTCCTTATATCTCTTAAGGTACACAAGTTCTTATATTTAGGTCAACATTTGACATTCCAGTGTGCCATCAAGGCCACTAGAACACAGACAGTCAGCACAGATCTTGAGATTTCCCCTCAAACTTAGCATGCTTTCCTTAGAAAACAGACATAACCCTAGCATTCAAGTCATCTATTCTTGTCAGTGTATTTTGAGGATGATATATTTAAAAAAATACTGTAAGCATCTTTTAGGAAAAATGACATTGAGCTTGAAGAAAAAAGTAATTTGTAGATTTGGACTCTTGGAATCTAGGCAAAGTACTTTGGACAGTGAAGTGCTCATCTTTTTAGCCCAAATTTACAAGATTATAAAACATACTTTTCACAGCAAGAGAGGTTGTTCAGTTCCCACATAGACCTGGGTGAAGCTAAATCTGCCTTAAGTTCTGGGCGTTATAGACAAACCTTGAACATATGGCATTGGTGTTTTTGCCATCAGATCTTAAGAAGCCCTTGTGCATCCACCCAATACTTGAAGACATTAAGATGTGTGGCTCTAACTTGAAAGTAATAGACAGAAGTGGGTTTAATTCCTGACACTGAACATGTCACCTGCATTTCTTTATGTTTGTACACAGTGAATACGGACCAGATGGGCTCACTCGGTGTGCTTTTGCTTACTCCAGCCCGTTGCCAATACTTGGTGGATTTCTGATGCTGATTTCCATGGAATTCTATCACTGGAAGCCTGAGCTCTTTATTGCAAAGATTTTTAGCTGGTTTGCTTGGCCTCCAGATTTTCTCTCCTTTCTGCATACCATGGCCAATATCATCTTTTTTAATATCTGCTTACAGCAGCTCCCATGGGATAAACCTTGCCTTTTTGGTGTGGTGCACTAGACTCTGCCTTGTGGTCCCAAATTAATTTTTGTTTTTGTTTTTCATTCTCTTCTAGTGCAAGCATGTTAATTATTTATGTCACCCAAAAAGTAAAAAGTTTTCTTTCTTGCCTCTGGGATTTGGTTACTTTTCTGGAATATTAGCTACCCTTCCAAACCAGCACAAGTTATTTACTTGGTGAACTTGTAGTAAGGATCTGGCTCAAGGCTTCTTCATCTTGCCTGACCTGTAACATTCCTTGCTCTGTATGGTCTTATTGGAATTCCTGTAAGATGAAATCTGTCATCTGCCTTCATTAGTTCACTTACTGCATTATTTCTTGTCCAATGTCCTCCACTCCTTATGATCAGATAGTGACTTACCAATGGGAAGAGGCTGTGTCTGTCTTGTGTTTCTCTAGAAGACAGCAATTTCTCATCCTGGTAAAAACTCAGAGATGTCTGTTGTTTCAATGTATGTACTTCCAGGATTTGATTTGTATGTCACCCCTCTGCACTTGGAGGAAACATAAGGGAAAGATGTGTGGGTTGAAGCAGATTCATTCTAGATACCTACATTATGGCAAGGACACAAGCGAGTGGGATCCCACAAGCCTCAAAACTAACCGTATGGAAGATGAGCTTTTTCCTTTAGCCATGAGGGAAACAGGCCCCTTCTGGGACTGCAGATGCAAATATGACCTCAGCTGTTGTAGCTGGCTCAAAATCCCTCATGCAACTCCAAAGAACTATAGAAAAGGATTTCTTGTGAGCTCGACTCAAAAGACACTCCATCAATTTGGGAGATTGAACAGGTTACACTACATGTTTGCATATATTTTGCCAGTGGCTGGAATTTGGTCAATGGCACATAATGTCCTAATGAATGAGAAGCCACTGAGCAAAATGGAACTTACAACAGACATCTCATAGTCCCTCTAGGATAGAAACAGTTCCTGGGAAATATCTTCCTCTTAGGGCCCTGAGGAATATCCACACTAGTGTTCCTGGAAGCCTTCATCTACCTCTTCTCACCACAGCCACAGCCCAGCCACACCAGGGGGACTGGACTAGTCATTGAGTCAACCTAGTATGCAGTATGGCATGGTGACCAGCAGCAATAGGATGTCCAGACTTAGCTCATAAAAGTCCAGGATGTGCAGTTAAATGTGAATGTCAGATAAGCAATCCTAGGACATGGGCTGTATTTTCTATTCTAGTACAGTGCATGGCACATGGTAGACACTCCATAAACAAAAGAAAGGATAACTGGACTTGCTTAGCTGTGTGACCTCGAGTCCATTTCAGAGTCTAATTTTCTCATCTTTAAATTTGATATAATTATTCCTATTCCTTTCAGCTGTTGTGAGGATTAAATGAAATAACCCATGAAAAGTGATTGTCACAATAGCAGGCACCCAGTAAGCATGCAGCGGTGGGGAGCTCTGTGTCTGTCTGTGGGGTTGGCATACATGTGTGTATATATTTTGGCCGATATCACAGAGTAAGAATAGGAATCTTACCTAGAAGACTTGGTGGGATTAGGCTCAGAATGTTTGGGAAGGAGAGCCAGCCAATTTTAAAACTAAAAATAATCCAGCCCTCAGATCCCTGTTTGGGAGGGCTTTAAGCTAACAAAAAAAGTTTAGGTAGCAGGTGTATATTGTAGAAATCTGTAATGATTTAAATATATGATGGATAGAAAAGTACAATGAGAGTTTGTTTTTATTTATTAGCACTAGGCATTGTAAAATTGTTTACTGGATGGTTTCACTTTATACCAGTCTCACTTTATCTTTCTGAAATTAAACTCAGTTCAAGATTCTGTGTGCTCTTTGCCAAAAGAATTTTATTGTGCAGCAAAACAAAAACCTTTCCTTAGGCTATTTGTGTTGTATAATGACAGACGGTCCTTGCATCTGAACTCTTACATTTCTGGAAGGATCTCTAACTCTACCATTTTCTAGGAGCACATTATCTTTCATAATATTTTAAAAGCATTGACTTTCATAGCCTGCTTCCCCAAGCATTTTTAAAAATTAATAATGGTGTTTTAAATGATGTGACTCAGGCATTTTTATTGTAGAAAATATGGAAATACAGGAAAGCATAAAGAAAAAAACAAGTTCAGAAATAATCAGTTAATCTTTTTAGTTATTGCCCTGCTATATTTGATTCTAGTGGTTTATATTATGGGATAATATTTTCTGACTGGATTTTATATATTTTATCTAAAAATCTACTATAAGCAGCTCCCATGATATGTAGCTAAAACAAACAGAATGAAATTCCAGAATGAAAGAATATGCTGTGGTTTAGAGATATTTGAGTAGGTAATTATGGAAATAATCATTGTACTAGTAGATCACATAGTTGACACAAATGTAAGTTTCCTGCATTTAGAATTGTAACACCAAATGTACGGGAGAGTGATTCAGTTCTCCAAATGAATCATGATCTTTAGTGTTACCAGTTCATTGTAAAGATGGCAGGAGATCCTGTGCTGAATTTAAATATTATTCCAAAAGGTAACTAGCTTAGAATGCACACAGTGCAGGAGGTTCACAAGTCATCCATATTTTAATAAAGCATAAAGGCATACAGCCATAAGGAAAAGAGATTCTCATTAAAGTTAATAGGGGTTGAGTTCATCTTTTCTTGCTTGTTTTTTGAGCTACTTTGTCCATATAACTTCATTTCTGGGTATCTTCATTATCTCTGACAAGGTCAGTGTCAAATAAACATATAAATTGAAGGGCATAGAAAGGCTTGCACTTGCCTGTAAGCTCTCACACAGTCCCCTGGGGGTCCAGGAGACCCAACCACTTGCTTCTGATTGAAGTGGTGAAATGGAAGCCCCTGCACCCAAAACTTGGGTCAATTATGATTTGCCATCATAATTGATGGCAAATATAATGATTTTTATCATTGGAAATTTTAAATTGTATTAAAATTGCATCACAAAATGGGAGCATTATAAAGATATCAAGAAAAAGGGAGTTTCCTTGCACACCTGATCTGATGGGCTTTCCAGCCTACAATGCATCTTGCATCGAACTTACTTAGTAACCAGTGGATTATTTCCATGTATTAGAAGGTCTTTCTGTATATATGTTGGTACAAATAGTGTAGATTTATAAGCAGCATGTTGATTACCTAAAACTAAAACTAAAACCTGAGTGCTTCCAAGGCTGAGCTCGGTATTCCTTTACTGTCACAACAAAGTGGTTTTGAAAAAAAAAAAATTTTTTTGTATTAATTTGAACCATTTGTTTTGCTCATGGTTTGAATCTACCAAACTAAAGATAAAAAGGCAAGATAAATTACTTCTGTTGTACTGGGGCTGTATTTGCTTTAAGTATCAAAGTGTCTATTCCCATAAGATGACATGGAATGAATGGGCAGGCTTCTATTTAATTTGAACGAGTTTCTTCTTTCAAGATGGCTTTGTCACTGGTTCTAAACAAAGGACTCTATATTTTAGACTCATAGAGAAGTCATTTTTTTAAAAAAAGTTGACTAATATAATTCTCTCTTTTTGGTGGTTATAATTTCTCTTTTCATTTTAAAGTTTTAGCTTAG